ATTAATAATATACATTAATAAAAAACATACATATATATATTTATATCTCACTCCAACTTGTCTCAAAATTTTTCTTCCTGAGTGTTCCTGAGACACAGACAAACTTTTTAGAAATGCTTAATATGTTCTCCAGTCTTCCTAGTAGAAAGGGCCAGTTTGGATGGCTTTATTTAAATTCATTTACATTCTTTCTTACATAAATCAAGAGACATAAGACAAGAGACATGCTATCTCTGAGTCCTGGATGTACAATCTTTAAATGCAAGTTCAGGGAGCTCATGCACCTTCCTCCAATAGCACACCACATGACTGGACATATTGCACGTGAGCAGAAGTGCATAACACTGTATAACACATCTACATGTGTGGAAAGGGTTAAGGAACTAAATTACAAGTATAACTAAAGAATTGGTTTTCATAATTGTTGTCTAGCACCAGGCACCTTTGTGTGTGCTCACACATAGACTTACGTCGCCAGTTCTCTGTGTGATCCAGCAGCTCCTTGGCTAGTCATCTGTATAGATGAGATAACAGACTGGTTAGACACAACTGACTAATGTGAAACCACCCTGAAAGCTGGAGATTGTCTGAACCTTTACAATTAAACATTGATGGAACTGTTTCTTACAGAAGCTGGGAAATTTGGGCAGTTCTATAAATTCCCAGATGCAACCCCTGCTTTATTTAGTCTCATTTATGTGTGTGTTAATATTCTGGTGGAGTGTCCCATCGGGAATTTTTCTTGTTGCTGAAGTGATTAAATTCTGCATAGATAAGACATTTGTAAATGCCAAATAGAAACTGTCTTTGCAGAAATGGTCTATGGAGATAGACTTTTGCAGATTAGATATTAAAGAAATGTTTAATATGTGGTTAAAACATATTCATCACTGATAGTGGTGAATTACTTAGAACCGCGGTTGTCACACAGGATCCTGGGCCAGCCAGGTTGTAAGAACTGAGTGGAACAGTCATGTGAGGAGACCTAGCCAAAGAGTCTGCCATGAGTCAGGTTCCTTTACACATTTTTTGCTTTCTTTGTTCTCCAGCTTTATTATTAATTATACAGTTTGTGGACGCTAAGCACACAGTCTGTAAATTCTGATAAGTAATCAACAGTAAAAATCTGATCCTACTTGCTACTGAAGGCTTTCAAATTCCTTTGGCCTGTATCTGTTGATCAAGCTACTACTGCCTGAAACACAGTGATTGATAGCCTCATAAGTGATGTTTAGTGAGAAGCTAGTAATGGAGAAAATAGGCAGGATGGATCTTTAAATAATCAGCAAGTAAGATTAGAACATTAGAGGGAAGAATGTCTAGAAAGGGAAGAAAAAGTTGCTTATTCTGGACTCAGGTTGGTAATGTGAATTATTGCAACTGGTCTGAGCTAGAATTTTTAGAGGGGAGGGTCACATCTTAAACTGCCAGATACTCGTTTCTTTAAATAGGACAAGAGCTCAACCAGTGTCCTGTGAAATACTAATTCAGACTGATACTGAAACTTTGGTTTCCTCTTTGTTTTAGGAACGGCTGGTACTGTCTGTCTTACCGCGCTTTGTAGTCCTGGAAATGATAAATGATATGACCAATGTAGAAGATGAACATTTGCAACACCAGTTTCATAAGATCTACATTCATCGTTATGAGAATGTCAGGTAGGTGCAGGAGTCTCTTTAATGCTTAAAGAGTCAGATGCTGTTAAATGTCACTTGTTGCAGTTTCCCTTCTGTTGCTTTGTTCATTCATAAATTAGAAAATCAGTGTAACCTTTAATCCCCAAGCAGATAAGCAGTTTGGTGCCTTCTTTCACTCATCAGAATAGCTGGATGTCTTTGCCATGGCAAGATCCATTTGAACTCAACACTGGTCTTCTCCATTTGTATATTTTTTCACTTGAATGAAGTGGTCAGGGTTGCACAGAAAGGGGAACCCTGCTTACTCATGGGCACAACCTTCTGGTTGACCCCACATACTAAGAAATTAGATGGAGACTTGTAAGATGCTTCAAAGGTGCACACTTATCATGTCACTCCTCTGTTTAGTAGCCACTTTCATTCAGTCATTCTTATTGCCATTTTCCTAATTTTATTTCTCTTTTTTACTCTTCTCTCTAAATTTTATATTTCCTGAAATTAGTTAACAGGAAGGTGATAGTTATTCTTTGAGCTACTACTCAAGGTAATAAGTCCTAATTGCACATTTAGAATCATAGAATGGTTTGGGTTGGAAAGGACCTTATGATCATCTAGTTCCAACCCCCTGTTATGGACAGGAACACCCCACACTAGACCATGTTGCCCAAGGCCTTGAACACTGCTGGGGAGGAAGCATTTTCCACTTCTTTGGGCAACCCATTCCAGTGCCTCAGCCCCCTTACAGTAAAGAACTTCGTCCTTATATCTAACCTGAATTTCCCCTGTCTAGTTTAAACCCATTACCCTTTATCCTATCGCTACAGTCCCTGATGAAGAGCCCCACTAGACTTTATACCAGATGATCAGCTTCCACTCCATGATGTTACAGATTCTCTGATTTTATTGTGGTTCCCAACCATCAGAATATTTAGCCAACCCGATAACATTTTCCATAAGTTTTTTCCCTAACCACAAGGGCAGATGATTGAGTAGCCATCAGTGAAAGAACTGAAAAGTAAGCAGCTTTGGATATGATGGGAGATGGTTTGCTAGAAAAGCGTGTACTTCATCTTTTGATGAAACCAAAATGTAACTTTGTCTGGCTAACTTCAATAAACATAATTCGAACTTCTGCAAAAGAGTAAATTGATTATCTACTTCTGTGGCCTTGCAGTAGCCCAGACATATAATTTTATTAAATCTGGTGGAAAGTTTCAAGGGCCCTTACAAAAGGTTTGAACCGCACTAAATTAAAATGTTTTCCATTGTCATTTTTCATTCTCAGAGTAAATGTTGATGTAGAAAAATCAAAATACAGAGAAGATGGCTCTTCTTTTTGAATGGAAAAGAGTTGTAGTCAGAGGTGAAAAGTTGAAACATAATTTATCTTTGAAAGAGCTTTAAAATTAAGATTCTGTGTGCTTTAGAGAACAGATACTGGTTGGTTCGTATGCATGCTGCCAGGGACCAGATCTTTTCAAAACTTGGTTTCACATTATTTTTTCCCAAACCAATGCTATATGAATCCCTAAAATTAGTATCCAGTTAGAGTTTTTTGTTGTTTTGATACTTAAAATTCTAGATATGAATTGTTTGAAAATCTTACTTTTAGCAGTTTAGTATATCACTATTATTTGTTTGTCTTTGGGTAGTTTGGTACTTTACCTTTTAATTTTGTATTTTTCTCACGGGTAAAAATGTTACCCTGTTTGTGAGCCTGTTACTCAATCCTCACCCAAACCTTTACCAAACTCTACATTTGAAAATGAGTTGAATTATCATTGGTTATATTTTATTGTCCACCTGGTCGTTACTATATTTAATATTGGTTGCATTAGTGATGCTCAAACACTGTCAAATTGTGATGTTGTTCAACACAAATGAAAGATTCTCAGCTACTCAGATTGTAACACCAGTTATTGGTAGACTTTGAAGTTCTAATGAGGTTCATTAGGATTATTACCAGACAATGTCAGCCTGTGTCTTTTTGAATACTATTACTTTCTAAAGGAGACAATACTTTCATTTCTTCAGCTGCTCGGTACTTAGTAGCTGAAGAAACGTTTTGGTCTGGATAATAGCTTGAACGCCACACACTTTGTATTCACTTGTGCTCATTGTAGACATAGGTTACAGCCAAAGCTATGGCTAGAAAATTCACTGACTGCTGAAATACAGGTTAAAGCTCTGTTTGGAACTTGTTTGTTGACTAAGATCCTATCACATATTGAGGCACCAAATTTGATGCACCTAAATTCAAGTATGATCACACTGGGCTCCCTTTGAAATCAAAGGAAAGAACAAGGAATCATTGAAATAAAGGTTTGTACCTTAAATAGAGGGTAGTATACTTCTAACACATGTACTTCTGCCAAGTCCCTAAAATTAAATGCACTAAAGCTGGCCTGAGCCTGGTATATATCAAGACTGTCACGAATCTGTTGTCTTAGGATTTTTGTGTGGCACAGAGATAAGTAAAGCCTGAAAATCACACTAAAAATTGATATCACTGAAGTCAAACTTACTGCAAAAACTAGCTATATATAAACCCACCCTCAAAGAACACTGTCAGATACTAACAGACAGCTGGGTGCCAAGTCTATCTGTTTATACAGCTTTCTATGTTATGGGTGCACTATGCCTCAGTCTTCTCACTGATAAACTGTGACAACTGTGTTTATTAAGGCTTAACTATATCTTCCTGAATGATTTGAAAATCCAAAATTTCATACTACACATTTTTGGCAAAACCCTTTCTCACACATGCTAGTATTTTGTTAGTCCCTTCTGTATTTATATTCAGTACTCCAGAATCTCCAAAAGTCTAGAACAAAGGTAGCATGATTTTAAAATGATCCTTTACTACTAAATTACTGGAAGGTAACTCAGGACATTCAGTTATCAAAGGAAATAAACTGCAATATTAATATATCTTCATTTTTTTAGCATTCTTTTCGCAGATGTTAAAGGATTCACCAACCTCTCCACAACTCTGTCAGCCCAGGAGCTGGTCCGAATGCTAAATGAACTCTTTGCCAGATTTGATCGACTAGCACATGTGAGTTAAACACAGTTTATTTGCAAAGGATGTGAAGACAGGTCTGTATTTGGGAGCTTTGGAAAATACCTTCTAATCACTTGAACAGAATTCATCCATATTTTCCCAAGTGGGATTTTATACAGCCATTGAATTTAGAAGACACAAGTTTATTGGAGGTGTTGAGTTCCAGTAGTGAGAGAAAGCTGAGACAGTCATCAGAACTTCATGTTTGTGCAGTGCTAGACCAAGAAAGGTATGAAAGCAGATCACCTACGACAGTTTCTAAGGAAGTTTTATATTTCTGGTCCTTGCTGGAAAATGAAATTTTTAAAAACCATAGCTTTATATTGACTTTTCTTCTAAGAACCAAAGGTTAAAAGACCTATTCATTTACAGGTCAATCAGCCACTGCACTCATTGCAATCATTAGTTACCAGCAGGTTTTACAATCTTTAAGTTGGATTCCACCTAGCTTACCAATGAAATAAACACAGTAGAGGAATTAATAACATTAGGCAAATTAGTTGCTACTTAATTAGTACAGATTAGAGAAAAACAAATCCAAAACAAACCAAAACACAGAAATATAAGCAGAACATGCTCAATTTTGCTAGGCTTGCATTTTCTTTTTTATGTTTCTTTGGTCATAGTTTCATTTCTTGTGACTATCTTTCGGTGTCAACATCTAAGCTGGCTGATAAGGCTGTTTGTT